AAAAAAAAAAAAAAGATTTGGAGTTTAATTGACATATTATAAATTAAAATATCAAATAAATTCGAAGAACTTTTTAGGTTGAAAAATGATATTTGAATTTAAAATACGTATATATATATCAGATTTGAGGTGAGATGGTGGCCGATCTTAGTATTCAACCCCCATTCCCTTGTAGATCTCATTCTTGTTGGAATTATACCACCAGTGACCAAAGTTAGAGGCCTGCAACATAATGCCCATAAGAAAGCATGCATGAGAAAAAAAATGACGTTGGATTTTTTCCAAGGCCGATTGTTGTTTCCCTAACTAAATCATATAGCAAAACTTTTACTTGCTCAACGAGCAGCCGTGAGTTAGGTATTTCGTGACAACAATAACATTAGAGGGAAGTGAGAGTCGATACATAATATTATAATATGTGCGGAGTTAGTTGAGCAAGCCACTTTAACATAGTGACAAATTTAACAAGCATACAACTAAAAATGTATCGAGAATGTAAAAAAAAAAATATTTTAATTATTTTCTTAACATGTCACTTATAAGTTCGTCGTGTTTGTCAGGATTACTGACAAAATATCAATTGTGAGGTGTGTTTGTGTGAATGTAGCAAAAACAGAGAGTAAATTTCAAAATTAGAGTAATAGATAAATTTAAGTTTGTTTTGTAAACACAAATTAAGTATCAATAAAATTTATTTTATGTCACTCTTGGCCTATTATTTCCTACACAAATCTACTTCAATGAGCACTAAAAAAATCACGGTTTTGCTACGAAGCCAACAGTTGACTCCATAGTGGAGCCAACCTTCTATATACAACAAATAAACCTACCATATTAATAAATTTATATTAATGTTATTTAAGTAATTATAGAATATGGTAGGTTTATTTGTTGTATATAGAAGGTTGGCTCCACTATGGAGCCAACTGTTGGCTTCATGGCAAAACCGCTAAAAATCAAACTCAACTTATAAAAAATCAAAACGTATAAAGGGAGCAACAATAAATAAATACTATTAATTTCCCAAATTCTTATTTCAGAAGATCAGTCTATAGGCATTATCTTAACCTTGAATTCACGTCTGCTATGTGGGGCTGCTAATTAATTACATTAATTAATTCACATAAACACACTTAAGGAGATCTCTATTATGTACGCCCTAATTAAATAATTTTAATACCACATTAACTTCGAATTTGTAGTCCAATTAATCTAGAGCAACTTGATTGGGTGTTATATATTTAATTATACGTCAATTTATTATTAAAGGAAATGTTATTGTCTATGAGTCATCTGATAAAAGACAGTGTAATAAAGATATTTAATTATACGTCAATTTATTATTAAAGGAAATGTTATTGTCCCGTTCCGAAATTATTTCGTGTGGATTTGTAATCGTTAGATAATCATGTAACCGTCGCGAATAGTTGATCTAACAGTTACAAATCCCGACGGAATAGTTTCGTACCCTTGAGAAATTAATCATAAATTGAGTTTGTGGGGGAGGCTTCTATTCTGTTTTCTAGCGAACAAATTCCGTTGTCCGATCATATCCATGTGACCATTTTCATTTCCCAATAATTTAATGACTTTCAAATTTAATAATTTAGTGCTAATTAATGCGTACTACTACTAAACAATGAGTTTTGTTTTAATATTTTGAACATTAGAATTAAATTTTGGAATCTCGAATATATAAATTCAGGCAAGAAATTATTTATTTAATTATGGGACTTCTTCAGCTCTCCAAGCCTAGAAGTATGGGATTTTGACTTAATAAACATCTATCAGCAGACATAACTCTCTTAAAAAATAAACTGTTTATATTGAAGTGGATTAATTTCACCTTATTTATCTTACATATGATGTTTGCATGAAAAAAAATAAATAAATACATAAATAAACAAATGTATACAAATCTTAATAAGCCTTGCTCAAGTTGTAGGTGTGGGTCCCAACAAACAGAGTGAAACATGATAAAATTGAGATAACATGAGACCTACCAAGAAAAATTGAAGTTGAATAGAAAGGTTGTAAAAGGTTTGCAAACTTCTCATTTAGCTTTTGTAGGGAAAATAGTATATAATGAGTACCCAATTAAGGGTACTTTCATGCCAATCCACGATTTCACTAAAGCTTGTTCTAACTATTCCGCAATACACATAATTTTCTTTCACTGTACTCCTTCCTACTTGTAATAAAATATTACCTTCTTTTTATAAATCCCAAACATACTCTTATATTTATTTTGGTTCAGAAAATGCGGTACCACCTTTATAATGATAATTATACATCTTTAACAAGTTAATAGTGCTTACGATTACACAGTCTACGGATTGGACGAACAGTTTTGAGTCACGTACTCTAGCCCACGTTCACTGTCGTCCACTGCCCTGTCAAGTCATCGAGTGTCGCTGATGGTGTCACATGCGGGTGGTGGCCGTGGCCGCCTCACCTCGCCTCGCCACGTCGATGTGCGCTTGGTGCCTGCGGTGGTCCTGCCGCATGCAGTGGTCGCCGGTGGTTGGGCACGTAAGTTTGGTGGTCGTCGGATGACCGTTGGATAGATATATATTTATATATAATATATTCCCCGGGATGCAACTAATTTTCTATTGTACAACTAATCACCTGCTCTGATTTGCCATGGTGGACAGCTTATCGGATCTCTCGAACCTCTCACAACATCACACAATTTTCTCTCCCTCTCTTGCTCTCTATTTGGATCGATTTCTTGCTCAAGAAGAAGAAACTACTGTGTGGGAACTTATGATCTTGGAGGCTAATGATTCAGTTTATTTATAGGTTACAATAGGAATCATAAAGATATGCTCAATATGAGCTCCCCAATTGTATATCCAACTGTATGTTTAGCCCACACCACACACAATTAAATAATATTAAATACAACTAAAATAATACTATTGAACTCCCTATTTAGCACCCAAATTATAAATTATTCGTCGCTCAACTAATTGCTCGATTTACCTCCCAATGTTTAAGATATAACGTCCATTGATTAATTTAATTACTACAATATAATTAATCAACTTCTACATTTGAAATTAGCACCTCGCAGTTCTTATCATCATGTCGAATACTAATCCGCCTACTAAGCTTAACGCAATAATCATTCATGAAGTCATGTCGAGGGTGTCATCAACTCTCTGGGGTGACTATTCTACGACACATCATGCACTCGCATTATTCACAAATACATGTGCCTAGTTTATATAAATTATTCACTTCTGCTACGTTAAGAGACAGTCACGAAGAAATTAGTTTATATCAAGTCTCATGTGCTCATCAAGAATATTTATATCACCTTTCGCATCAAGTAAGCATTTCGTATACAATGTCTTCAAGAAACGAAATTTATGCTTACATCCGAACCAACATTAAATTACAACGGATGCATTGTAGACCCTGTCAACTAACAACAGTTTAGTGTTCCACTCATTTCCACTTTCCAACTTCCTTTTGTTCATAAAGTGGCCCATAGACACGCAGACACAAATACTTCATTATGCTATTAAATGAACGAACAGCACTACAAAATGTGCAGTCCAACAATTTATTCAGACAACAATGTCCAGCACTTTATTTTATTCTCATTTTATATGTACATATGAACTGGAAGATCAGTATATGAGTTCTACCATTTAGGCAAAAGGAAAAAGGAAGAGTGAGTTAACAGAGAGCTAAAGGAAAACAAAGAGTTACATGCCTAAATTAAGCAAAGTAGCATTCAAATTAAGCAAATACTTCATAATTTTCATTTCCCAAAATTACCATAGTCCAGAAACAGTTTATATATGACACGGAGCTCGCTCTGAGTTGCAGCATGGTAAAAATGGCAGTCAACAATTACACTAGCAATTAGCCAATTACAAAACAGTGTTGAACAATTTCGAACAAAAATTTGAACTGAGCAGCAACGGTATATTTTCGGATATATGAGTTGTCGTGTATGGCATCTTTCCTCTAACAACAAAAAATGATAGGGGATACAAGTTTTCAACCCCCAAAGTCTACTTGCCTTCTCAAGATTCAAAAGAATTCACGAACGAGCCAAGTGGTGTTGGACTATATTAGCCAATCAATCGGCACTTTGATAATCTTCCCTGTCTCATCTTTCATTCTTCACTGTTGTCACTATCATCACTGTACCAACAAAATCAGATTTCTTCAGAACAATTGTCAAATATAGAATATTCCCCATTCGCTTTTAACAACAGATCTAATATGCCACCCAAATTCTCTGGATTGTTCAGTTTATTACAAGGGGAAAAAAATGATTGTATTAGTCTCAAAATTACGAAAACCCAATTGGTATACATTCCTATTTAAAAAATTTACAACCTTAATCAAGAAAAAGAAAATGCAAACCTCAAGAGGGTGCATTTAACAACATAAAAGGCATTTGTAAAATAGAATGAATATTGGTTTTTTCTGTAATTAAATCAAATAAAGGGTCGTTTCATGATTATCTGATAATCAAAATCTTAAAGTAAGAAGATCTCATGAACATGAGAAAGAAATGTACAATTAAGTTGTTGGATACTTATGACAGAGGTGAAAAGGTTTTACTCATTGATGGGAAAGATAAAAAGGCAACTTTATGACCCTGTCAAGGAGAAATGAACAAGATTCAACACCTGTGTTCAGGGAGTTTCGATATTCTTCTAGCATCCAAACCAGTGATGTACTTTTGGGCAGCTTGAATATTTTCTGCACCTGAAGACATTTAACAGAAGAACTGGAGTTGGCAATGATCTAAGCAATAAAGACAACATCGTAAAAAGTTATGAAGAAACATAAAAGTTAGTCTCAGTTGGGATTAATAATATAGCCAACAATTAAACACACTTGACAGGAACCGGAAGCAAGAATGTATATATACCCCTTGACAACTGAAAGCTGTGCAGAGCACATCTTTCTGCAGCTAGCCTAACAGGTTGAGATCCATCCTTTAAGCACTCAGCAAGTGAGGGTCCAAATATTGAAATATGACCTATGATCCACTGCGGATTAGCCTACACAAAATTTTCAATATTAAAATCAGGTAAGATTATTAATTAGGTAAGGTTATTAAACGAATGCAACAGGAATATAAACGAGTCATTAAGTATATGTACTTTGGCAACTGCCTTCAAAACACTTAATGCTCTTCTTCGGACTTCACTTGAATCATCCTCCAAAGCCGACACCAAATAGTTCAAAGTTCCAACATGTGCCGTGTTATTTGAGGGATCTTCCTGGACTTGATATAGAAGAAGCCTTCCCAAAGCACGAACTGATGATTCACGAACTGGGAACTACACGAAAACAAAAGCGCAGGGATTCCAAGACATGTCGTAAGAGATGCATTTAAAACCTATTTCACTGAAAAACCAAGCATGCAATAACATGCTGCTCTCAATGTCCCATTCTGTTACACATGCATTCCAATATTCTCTCTGGCGTAAACCGTTAATTTCCCAAGTTTCGTTCGAAGAAATAATCTATATGTGAATTACTGTAAGAGTATAATAGGGACATTGTATACTGTTTTGGACTTAACCAAGTATATTAGACCATTTGTTTATCTATGCAAAAATGGGAAAGACCATCCATAGGAGCATGAGCGTAACTAAAATTCAATATGGGTACAAGCAATGTATAGAAAACTGTTTGCACTTATATTACATGGCATCACAGGTTAGGCACAAACCCTATGATTTACAAATAATTTTAATGCCTACTGTATCAGTGATTTCTAATGCAAAAGTTGAGATCGAGTAGAGAATGAGGCAGAACAAGCTAAAAGAATGAGTAGTCGGTGCTAATCACAGGTCAAAGTACAGGAAAAAAAAAAAAAAATACCTTTTCATCCTTCAATGAACTTTTCAGACAATCAACAGTACTTGTAAACAATGGAGAGGTACAGACTATTGGAGCATTATGTCTAAGCATGGATGAAATGCAAAGAGCAGCCCCATGCCTTGTAGTCCAAGTAGAAGATGTGGCTGAATCAGCGACTCCCATGAGTACTTCAGAAATTTGAGCACATTCCAAATACTGTTGCACATAATCATTGTTATAAAAAAGTGTACAAATGACATGGGATCAATGATAAGTGTGCACACATTTATATCGCATTTTTAATTTCACAAGAGACCAGGGACCTTTAAAGGAAGTTAGAAATGTACATGGGTTGGCAAGACAAAATTGTAGATTTGAAAAGCTAATCCAAAGCCATAAGTTAAGGTGGAGCACAGAGAAAGCATGGATTATATTTTCGTTCATGAACATGTGGACATTTTTTTACCATCCCTTTGTTGAATTTATACACATGTATATATATATATATATATATATATATATGTGTGTGTGTGTGGGTGTATGTGTGTGTGTGTGTATATATATAGTCACATTATAAAAAATTACAAATATCTGCTCTGATCTGCTCTATTGATTACAATGTCTAATAAACTTCAAAATCTTTGCTTTCATGGAACTAGTTGCCAGACCATAAATTCTAACGTAAGAAACCACTTCACTACCCTAAAACATTATAGCTGTTCACCTGCAGTAAGATCCCCAAGATGCCAGATGCGGAAATCCGTATTGGCTCATCTTCGCTGTATAGCAAATCTTTTAGCTGAGTGTGGACACGTGTTATAACAACACTACTTAGACCTTTTCCAGCATTCTTTATCACACCTTTCAGGGCCGTCAATATTGCTTCCCGTACGGCAATATCTGATGCCTGGCAATTAGATAATTAGCTCAGGTATTGTCTAGAACTTTAAAGCCAGATCAGTGGGTAGTAAAAAATTATGAAATTATGTTTTTCACCTGCAGAGCAGATAAAAGATCACCAACTAGTGGATCAATTCTAGTACTCAAAACACTAAGCTTCCCAAGAGCAAATGCAGCACTTGAACGGACAGTCCTGCAGAAAAACTAGAGTAAGCACAAAGTAGGAGCCTTTTGACATTCAATAGGGCATAGGCATGAAAAAAGGATCAAAATAACGATTTAATAATGAGTTGAAGAACCATAATTCTAGTGCAGAGCCATGACCAATATTTTGTATGACCTTTAACAATTTAGATAATCAACGACAAATAATTTCCCAAGAGCTAACCTAGTATTATCCTGTAGGCACTTGACAAAAGTTGTTTGAAGTTGGGGAAGAAAGGGCTTTAGAGAAATCCCTCCCTTCTGTATCATGATGCTCAAAGTCGAGAGAATAGCACTCTTCACTTGCCAAGGGAACCTGTCCCCTATGATGCGAATCAATGGGCTAGAAACACAACATATAAGATTAGTTCAACTCTAGAAACCTCGACTCGATGCACCATTGGAGCCAATATTATAATTAAGTGATGAAATGGATATATGGTTCATTTCATACTCAAATATATATAGATATATAATCTTGTATCAATTTAGAAGAATTCATTGAGAAAATGATAATAGCAATTATTCCATAATCTTGTATCAATTTAGAAGAATTCATTGAGAAAATGATAATAGCAATTATTCATTCATTTAGTCTTTCTTTTTTTTTTTCTAACTAATATTTGGTAAAAAATGGAGGAGACTTTTATATAATATGGTAGTCCAGAAAATAAATTTGGGAGAGGGATATCTTACACACCCTGTAATAGGAATGACAAATTCTTTCAGGGCTTTTTCATTTGTTACTTCAATTAATTCACCAAGACCCAAAGCTGCCTGTTCTCTTAGTTCAGCTGATCCACTTATAAGACCCTGGAAAAACATGAATTAGTTTATCAAGACACGCAAAGAGCCTAATACATGAAAGAAGAAAAACATCCACTTCGACCACACACTATAATTACAGAAATGATCGAAATCATATGATGAGATACTGTCACAGTTGGCAGTGAGAACCTACAAAATCTTAATCCACATTCCACAATATCATTAAGAGTGCAAATTGAGAAACATGTATTGCATGCATTTAAGTTTAAATTTTGAAATGGTGGTTTGTTGCAACTCCAGATGGAAATTTTTAAACAAGAGATTACTCAGATTAGAATTCTTATGCTGTTTATTTCCAGTATTACATACTATGGGGGCAAAATAACAATTGATCAAACTTATAAGAGCAAAAAACATGGACCTTATATTCCGAAGAGATTTCAAAGTACCTGGAGAAAGATAGGCAACACAGGTTGAAGTGCCTTTGGGAGACAGAACCCAGGTATCACAACTGGTCCACCCTGTATCCAATGAACAATTTCTGACTTCTATAAGAACAATATTAATTTTCAACAGATGGATTATGAACACATAATTTCCTGATCAGATCAAAGTGTACGCCATCTAATACAATATGAAAAGGAGCAAATCACTGACACTAACTTTTTTCTTTCTCCGTTCTTTATCTCTAGATGTAGATATTGCATCCCGAACTAGTTTCATATATGAAGGAAGAACCTCTTTAGGCACTGAGCTTACAACCCTCAACAAAGCTTCCCAAGCAACCTGCAGAAGCATTATAAGCACAAACATACACTGAAAATAAAGCAGAACCCAATTTATAAAATTACCAGGACTGTTGCAGGATCTGGGTCACTAAGCAAAATAATCAAGGTAGAGATCATGTTTGGTGCTTCATCAACCAGATATAATTTGCTATTTTGGAAGAGGTACCCAATCAGATACGAGGAACTTCTTCTTATAGAAGCCTGGAGAATAAACAAGCGTTAAATTTAAGATAGTTATAATCGTACTAGTTATGTTACCATTTTGCACGACCCAGGTGGGTCTGTACAATATCACAAGCTTAAACAAACAAAATTCATGCCTGGTTATCTGCAGTGCCTTTTAGAAGCTCCGAAGTCAAAGACTCAATGCCTTCCTCGTCAATAACCAAGACAACTGTTTCTGCTGACTTGGTTGCTAACCTTTGAACATCCTATAAGTCGAAGGAAAAAAGTAAAAAAAAAAAGTAAATAAATGGCAAAAATCTTGTTCAGAAACAGAGGGGGTGCAAAGTGCCACACACACACATGAAGAGAGAGAGAGAGAGAGAGAGAGAGAGAGAGAGGGAGGGAGAGGTCGCATACCACATCAGCATCACCCATTGCAGCAAGTAAAGGTGGGAGTACTGTACCAAGATGGAAATTGAGACCGGGTCCTGCAACCTCAGCCAGAGCTCCCAAAGCGTGTGCATTGAAAGCACTATACCAACCAATATATTGTTGGTTAAAAAAATTAGGACATGCATTTCAAAAAGGATAAAGTACTCTTTTACAAATGATTGTACGTACGACATGGGAAGATGAACAAGCTTTGGAAGAATATGAGGTAGCACAGCAGTGGTCCTGACACTAAAATAAACAAAGACAAATAAGTACTTAAACAGGGAATTACATAACAGATCGCCAGTGTATGAAGAAACCTATATAGCATACCTCAAGATTTGTTTTAGACCATCAAGAGCAGTATCAGAAGTTTGTTCATCTTCTAGAGCATGAAGAAGTGTGGGAACAATTTCATCAATTGCTTGCAAGCCAGCATTCTACAGCACATAATACAATTTCCATTTTAAGTTCATGCATTCAAACAAAAAACATTATTTGCGAGTATCTTCAAAGTAATACCTTGTACAGGGTACTGAATGCTAAACCTGCAGACTCACGAACCTCAGGTGTACTGTAAAATTAATAAACAAAAGGAGATCACCAAAAAGCTACACATTGGATTGTGCATTGACATAACCACAGCCACGATTAACAATGGCAAACCTATCACAAAGAGCAGTCCGTATTGTTGGGATGAGCTCATCCATGAAAGTCAGCAACTGACTCTTGCCAGCACTAGCCATAACTTCACTCAGACCAATGCATACACCCTGGACATAAATGAAGGTAAAAACTCAAAACAAAAGAAAAACATGACTATATTTTTTATAAAACCAGGGAATAACTAAGCATTTTATTTTTGCGTAACACAAAGTCCTGGCACATGAGCATTGATTTTCTAGTTTAATTAATCAAATTAAATTTACAGTGAACCAGAAAATGGGGGAAAGGCTCACTTGTCTTCTGCCGGGATCTGGGTCACTAAGACCCTTTGATAGTATCGGAACAATTAAAGGAAGCACTCTTTCACCAAGCTTCCGGACAAGCTCCCCTAATGATCGTCCAGCAACCTGAAAATGGAGATGAGACTACGATTTTAATTCTAAATAGATGAAACACTGCAATCTCCATATGAAATACATTTTGAAGGGGACCTGTCTCCTCTCTGAAGATGATGAAGCCAGAGAACTTATTAAAGTGTTCATTAAAACTGGCATTATTTCCTTCAGAGTTTTTGGAGTGTTTGCAACAATTGTTTTCCACACATGCAATGCAGCCTGAGTAGAGAAAACAGTTTCAGTATCAAATACTACCACAACATGAATAAGAAAACCAACAACTTAAATGACCAAAACTTGACACCCCTGTACCTGGCGAACAACTAGGCTGACATCAGTACGAACCATATATAATGCAGCAAGAACTTCATTACGTTTATCTTTTCCGAGTACTTCAATAATAGCCCGTCCATGCGCTTCAGTGCTAGAACCCTCATCATCACTGCCGCCTTCCAGAAGTGCTTTTCCGGAGGTACCAGCAACCTGAATAACAGATAAGGTGCTAACAGGTTCTTCGAGAGAAAGAAGACGAGAGAAACAATGAAGAGTACAGACCTTAAACAAAAGATCGCCTAATAACTCCACAGAACTCTGTCGAATACGCCAACTATCATTGAATATACCATCCTCCACAGCAGGAAGGAGCAGTGGCAAGGATCTGAAATTAACAATGGTTACAACCACTTGGTGGTCATAAAACTCACAGAAAAAAATTTATACCATCCATGGGGCACTTTTATACTTGTATAAAATACTAAAATCTCATGTTTTTGTTAGACTGCTATTTCAAATAACAGAATTACAAGTATCCAGACTCCATAGTTTATGTAAACTCTTTCAGTAAAAACTCTTCCTGGTCATCTTTCCAGACCAAATTTCTGAACATACTTGATGGACTATTTGCTAGTGAATGTTTAGAACAACCACAAGGTGAACCAAAGAAGAATTCTAGGACACTTCAAGTGGATACAAATGAAAAAATTCAGTCCAATCAACCAATTAAAATAAGATAAACAAACTGTAATACTCATAAGCACATACGTAGTAGCGTAATGCTTGACTAGGACATGCCCAGCACTAAGTGCCGCATCTCGTACAGACTCATTCTCATCAGCAAGACCTGCAAGGCAAGAATCCATAAAAATCAGTCAGCATAACATGACAAGGCCAACCTGTGTAAGCTAAGACATCCCTTCAACTGAACAAATTTAGAGGATAAAAAACAATTTCTAGAGGAAGCCTACCATCTAAAATAGCAGGCAAAACCTGTTGCAAATACTTCTGGAACTGAACACCTAAAGATCTTGGAAGATACTGCAATAAGCACAAAAGTAATTTCATTACTTATCACTCAGTTTGCACAAAAAAAAAAAAGATGCACAAGCATCAGCAAAGCAATATATTTATCTACTACTTGACACTTGTAATTTATATACCTTGATAAGGGTTAAGTAACCATCTCGAACTGAAGCTTTTGGGTGAGAACAGTTACGAAGAATATCAGGAAGTATGTCCTCAAAATATTGTGTTCCGAGTGCAGCCAATACCTACAGAGAAAGAAAAAATCACAATGCACAGTTAGTACTAAGGACAGCAAAGGAAAGAATCAATCACCCATCAATTAAAAATGGTATTTCAAATTTCAATGAGCCTAGAAGTACTGAGTGAAAAAATGAGCCAACTCGAACACTGTCTAGTTTTATAAGAGAAATTTTGTTTGAATGGCAATGATCTTACACCAATATCATGTAAAGTTGGACAGAAATTAAAGAGATATCTATCTAACTGGCACTATAACATTCAATCTTCTCATTGGCACTTTTACTTTTCAAGTCCTCGATATTCAATCTTTCATGTACTATGTACACGTCATGGACAGTATAAAATTCAGTGCTTGTCACCCATTAACTGGAGTGTTTATTAACATCTTTTTTTTGGTTTATAACAAAAATAAAGTTTAACTTTTTGTTTCGTAGCGTGTCACTACCAGAACATCAAACAACTTGCCCATAATAAAATTCCATATGATATTACTACAGATACAAGATAAAGTCATGAACTAAAATGCAGTTTTATCCGGATGGAGGATGAATCTGCAAAGATACCATAAATCAACTTCTGACTTCATAAAATTATATCAATATGCTGGTTCCTACACCCAATGAGTTCAGTAATCTAGAAACAAACAAGACTACCGCATAACAGAATATGACCAATCATTTTTGTTGTGTGTTCTAGGAGTGAAGTCTATGTTGCACTAGCATAAGAGGGTTACATAGTGTGATCCAATGCTAAGTTTCTGTAGCCCAAAAACACATGAAAGTAATGACAAAATCTGTCAATAGAATCATACATCATAAAATAACAGCACCATGACCAACCCCATTCAATTATATGGCAACGGATAAGATAAAGGTAGAATATGATTTCATGCTGGTCACCACAGTTTCTAATCCCTTGCAACTTTGGTTATTCACCAGAACCACTTAAATAACCAATTTGTTCCCTATATGACTAACCCGAGAGAGACTGTTCTTCACAAAGAGTATAAAGCCTTAAACATAAATCTAAAATATATACTTAATGAAGAAGAAAGAAAAGTAAGGTTAAACAATCTAACCTCACTGAGCCCTTGAGCAGCTCCAGAGCGCTCGACATTACCACCATCAGACTTCAGAGTATCCAATAACCAGGGAACTAGCTCAGGAAAGTTATCTTCTCCCATTCCTCTAATAAGAGAACCAAGAGCCTTTGCAGCAACTGATCTAACTTCAGGAATTGGATCAACCAGCACCTGTCACATAATATATGCGTAAATCAAAATCCTTCCCCTTGTTGGAAGCTTCATTCACATATAGAAGAACATACCTTTTTAACTTCAGGGAGAAGCAAACCTATGTAAGGAATCATATCTTTTGCCTCTGTAACTAAAGAACACATGTTTCCAACTATTTGTGCAGCTTTTTTCTTTGTTTCAGCACTCCGTTCCCTAAGCCCTCTGTGGACAATGGGCACCAAGAGTGCAAGAGAAGGAGCATCTACAGAATTAATGAAGGTCGTCTGCAGAAACCAGAGCCATTAAAACCATAATCCATAACGTAAAATCCAATACACTCAACTATGGTAAAGACGTAACTGATAAATTACCTGGAGAAGAATATCAAGAGAATACTTTGTATAATCATTGGGATCAGTGAGACCCATTAAAAGAGTGGGAACAAGGGCAGATATTTCCGGATTTTTTATCACACTTCCAACCTAACAGAAAGAATTAACAGTCAAAATATGACTAATGCACATGCATTGGGTACAACTAGGATGATTGTGTTTAAATCCTATCCATTATCTTTTTATTTTTTATTCAAAATTTAAAATTTTAGGGTATTAATTTACCTGCTGGAGGGCTGTTTGCCCAGCTGACTGAACTTTGGGGTGAGTATCCGTGAGGACCTACTCATCAAGAACACAGCTTAAATGCACCAACCCAAGAACATGCAATCATGCACAAAGTAAAGAAATAGTCAAATGTAAAAGCAATAATCATGTGTTACTACACAAACCTCAGTCAATTTTGGCACAATCTTAGGAAGACACTGAGACAGTTGCTGTGGGGCACAGTAAGCCATAGCACCTAGTAGCTGTACGCTGCTCTGCTTTGTTCTCCAAGCTTTATCTTCGAGGCCCTGGCATGAGAATAAGAAATGAACCTTGGATTGATGAATTGAAAAGCATAGTATTTAAAACTCAGTTGTGCTATATGTGTTTCACATGTATTATTCCTTTTCCTTCAAGAAATTGGTACTGTGAAGCACAGAATGCGGACGAAAATTTACATCCAATAAATCCAAATTTTGTAAACATCAGATTAATCAATTCTTAGAATTACAAATGGAATGTAAACTTTTGATGCATTAACTATAAATCTATATTGCTTGGATTTACCCATTTTAGAATTTTACAACTTTCTCCTACTGTCCCACACATTAATTGTTATCCCAATATAGTCCCATTTTCCTATAATATTTAACTGAGTGTATGTGGTTAAAATATTTAAGAGAATTATTAATACACAAAAATATCCAACGCTACCAAGACATGAAACCATAAATTTGTCAAAATTTGAAAAGAAGCTGCTAAAAGAGTGCCCTTTAGAAACCCATGGGCCATCAGATCCACTCATTCCTAAATTCATCATTTACCAAGTACCTCGTGCAACATATAGATCAGTTAGGAGTTTAAGGAAACCAGATAAAAGAAATAGGTTCGCTGGAAGCATAACTACTATTGGCAGAACCTCAATGTTGACCAAAAGCACCCAAATTTTAGAATGATATTATTTCAATGTAAGAAAATCAAGGACAGAAACTGAATATATCATACAAAAAATGCTGTTTACCTTGCCTTGGTAAATCCACTTTATCAAAAGATCGATATAGCAGCTAAAACTTTAAGTTAATGTTCTAAATTTGTAGTCCACCATCAACCAACTTCCTAAATTTACTTCAGACTACAAGAAAGAATTATAATTTTTTCTTTTTACATAATGCCTGAAATGCAAATTTACTCCCACACTCAACAACAATTTATACCTCCAGGTTTGTGTGAGCTGAGCATTAAAGCATCTATAATTAGCCAAACCAATATAATCATGCCACGCCGGTAATTTATTAATAAAGTTCTATCAGAGTATCTAAAAGTGAGACCTTTAAAAGGGATGGGAGAACAAGTTTGACTCCTTGAGCACTAAGTTGCGACATCATAGCACGAGCAGCACCCTCAGCTGCTTCTCGAACAGCAACCACTTGATCAGAGAAGGATACCAGAAGTAAGGGTAACATTTGAATCACATATCTGAAACGGAAAAGAAAGGGACAGAGTTCAGAGTCTCATTCTCTAAGATATCGTCTAAAGAGAAAAAATTTCATATGATAATCTCAGCACACTTACGGTTCAAATAATCTCCCCAGCTTCTCACAGAAACATTCAAATGCCAGCAAAGCTCCTTCTCGGCTTTTAGCAGAATTTCTGAAAAGGAGAAATAGCATAAAGAGTTTTAACTCCACAGTTAAGCCCACTAATGCTGATTAAGTCCCCTCATACATAATGCAGTTAAAGATAGCAGGTCAACACAGTAATTTGAGATACTTCTAGATAAAAAGATGCATCCTTCCAGGTGACACTGCAATTGACTGCATGACTGATAATAGTATGGGACCATACCAATAAATGTAAAATTCTTCCAGTTATCACTTGTATGTTTAAGCAAATATCGACAAAATTTATCCGGTCATGAATTTATTCACACCAGTTCTGCCAAAGAGCAATACTGTAGGTGCCACGGAGTACCCTTTTCGCTTCCAGGAAGTCTTACTGTCCTGGCACATGCTCTAGAAAAGGACACTAACTGAAACGGGCTAGCTAGATACAAGTACATCAACATTTCAAATACAAATCGGTGTCAAAAAGGAGGAAAAAAGCTAAATCAGATGGCCAAAATTAAATGCATTTCATTAAAAAAAAAAATGCATCATGTATCGCGTGTATTGCAGAACTCTTGAGGCTGCCCTAGGTTAAAATGGTTTTTTTTTTTTTAAATTTTCCCAGCATAGAACATCCTCTATAGCTTTGGTATTGCTAATTTATAAATGTAATGATTAAAGTTGATGTGCTGTAAAAGTAGAAGAGAGGTTGTTAGAAATGATAGGTAGTTGGAATTATGTAAGTGCATGAATAGTGAATTAAAGTTGATGTGAAGTGCGAGGATGATTGATTAGTATTATTTAATTATATAGGTAATATTGAGGAGAGTTGGGTTGAGTTGGATTTTAAATTAAAAGATATAAGACAAAGTAACTCAATCGGTCAAAAACGGTTTTGTCTCGTATCCAAATGCGCCTTCAGAGACTATAACCAAATGTAGAGTTCATTGAAGTTTGATCCTAGGTCGCATTTTCAGGCTACTTGCAAGAAACGGTACATTGAATAAAACTTGACATTAAGGTTGATACCTACCCTGACTTCGAGGATAATAACTATTTCATATATTTTCTTAACTTCAAATATAACACCTGGTAATGGCGTAATGCCACTTTGAATCCCAATCACTGTATAGAAAACGACATTAAATTCTCATATAGACCTGTCTGATAGACCATCTCGTAAGGCTGTCGCAATATTATACTTCTTCATACAGGATATTCCAAAGCCTCGGACCACCCCAGCTAACCCAAATGCTGCACCACGACGCTCACCATATTTGTCACTCTTCATTAGCTGACTGAGCAGCCTTGAAATAAGAGCCACTGCTTCTTCCTGATGGCAATACAACATTAGTTTGAGCTACATAAAATTAACTGAAATGACAGAAAAGAATAGCCGGCTTCAGTACTATAGGATCGCTATAAAAAGCCACATATAACAGATTTTCCAAACAAAAAGAAATTAATAGTAACGATGATGATTTATGATAGGACATAGGAGTTAAATTTCCCTTGAATTAATAGCTTGACTGATACAAATCCCAAAACGGTCACAATCTTCATATGAAGACCTTTTGATTAAACAAATAACTATCATGTTGACAGATAACAACAAATGGATTGGAGAAAAGTTTAACTTTACATTGCGCCTTTTCTACAACAAGCTACAAATATTGATTCCAGACCGGTACACATGATAGTTCCCCTTTTAGCAGTAATTATTATCACGGATCAAAATTCATTTTGATTCTTCATATTATTAATGGGTTAACTAATCCAACAACGAACATAAGTTACTAAAATTACCTTATTTCCTGGTTTCTAATATAGATCAAATTATACACATTACTTTAGTACAAAATGGAATTTAGTTTTTGAGTTACAAATATTATGTTCCCCATAAAGCAAAAAAATAAGTAATGACACAGAATATATAGTAGTATAAATATTTAGCTGCAAAATTACATAAACATATTTTTTAGTTAACTTAATGTGCTACTCTTAGTAATAAAAGTCGTGCTTTTCTACTTATCTATTTCGAAACTATGGAACTAGAAAAAGATTAAGCTTACATGCTAAGCGCGCTGGATGAAATTTGGCATAAAATATAGCTTTTGAGTTTCCATACAATTGTGTAAATCATGTCCTTTATAACTGAAACAAAAAGTGTTTATGTCCATCTCACTTCTAATTAGTATCAGCAGAGATTTAACGGTTTTAATAGGAGAAGCAGTTGATGCAATACAACATGACAATAACAAAAGGAAAATTTGACCTTCAAAATAGAAGATAAAATGAATTAATGAAAAACAAACATGGTTTTAGTTCACTTTCATCTTGCAGGATTGGCCCAAGAATAAAAACTCCAAAATCACATTCACAAGATAAAACAAAAGTGGATGATGAATCAAAAGTTAAAACTAAAATGGAATACACTGGTTCACTACTTTGACTGGTCACATATAATGCTTGAGTAGCTTATGCTTTGAATATACACTCCTATTATGAAGTATCAAATATTATATATTCAAATCTACAGAGAGTTAGTGAAATTAATTTAAACAAGTCTATCAAACTACTCTCAGTTATGAAAACCTTAATGTTCTATCTTATCAATAAAAAAAGGAATGGAAAAAAATTAAAAAGAATAGTTATTTTATTATTTTCAAATATGTACCCACACCAAGATAGGCATCACCTTCCTTTCACACAGAAACAATGTCAATAGAATCAAACAAAACAGTTGTAATTTGTATTTCCTTTGGAACGGTAAGTAGAGTGAAATTAATACTTAAATTTCACCAATCTTGAGTAAAATTCACCAACTGGAATAAAGAGTGAAATGTTCCACATACATTACACATTAATCCAACCATAAGAGAGTCTAATTTAGTTTGGACAACAAAATAGGTTAAACTTGCTCATTTAATTTTAATCCATGAATGTTATGTGAACAATACAGATATTTGTGATCATTATTTCAATCAAGTTGCTAATAACTGGAAAAAAAATCCAAGCTACGAACACTGAAATAATAATACAAATATGCCACATCCACAAAAAAAATTGGCCGAAGACACACTTGATAATTACTAAATGATGACCAAATCAAAATCAGATAAATCAATAATTCAAATATATTAGACTTATGTAGAATCCAATAATACCTGCTTTGATTGCATCAATGGAGAAAGGCAGGTAGAAACTGCTCGTTGCACAGCCTCAGAAGGAGTGTTTAACACTTCCAATAACTTCTCAACTACAGCATGAACCTTTGGGTCACCCTGATATGACAGAAATTGGATTCAGTAAAGAGATACCTCGTACTGTGAGTCAGTCTTTTAAGGGTATGATAAGACCTTTGATAAATGCTTTGCAAGAGCTCCAGTGAATATAACCACACCTTCACGAACCAAATCGTATTTTCCCTCATCTGATGCCTAAGAAAGAATTCAATATGTATAAAGAGAAAAGAGATCAAATTCCATGTGATTCAGTTGATTTAACCCTCCAAAGGGTTGTACATGATGGCAACCAAGGAATGCTTGCATGTCAATAGTGAGCTAAGAATATAACATCTAAAGGCATTATTTATAAGTTCAACAATAACCAAGGGGATAAAATAGATAGAGCAAGACGAGACATAGTAGGGTGCTCACTTTTTTGTTCAAGTAATTCTCAAATATGGGAAATAACAAGGACACATTATCTCTTCCATGCTTGTCAATAATCGTTATACCAGCATCAACCATTCTACCTCGAACATCAGTGTTGGGGTCAGCCTGCAGACAAACATTTATGCACCAAGTCCTCTTTCAGTCATATAGGGTACCATAGGAGTGGTGTTCATACAACAAAACTATCTAAGTCAATACATTTAACACATCTCAATCCGCATATTCACTACTATGAAAACGTTCATATATCCAGTATGAAATATTCAAGGATGAATACTATAGGGGTTGCTTGGATATAAGTTTTTTTTTTATTGGATTTTTTAGTTAACCAAAGAGTTTAATTTTAAAAAAGTTGGTTGGGTTAGGTTTGAGTGAATTTTGAGTTTGCATTAAAATAACATTTAAAATAAGATGATTAAAGTTGATTTGACGTAAAAGTATGAGAGAGGTGATTGAAATTGATGAGTAGTTAAAATTATGTGAATGGATGAATAGTAAATTAAAGTTAATATGATGTGTGAGAATGATTGATTCGTATTTATTTATAATACTGAGGAGGGATGGGTTGAGTTAAACTCGAGTAAAATTTTGAGTTGTGATTGGATTTGTTTGAGCAAGATATCCAAGCATGCGCATAATAAGCTATTCTAAGTCAGACAATTTGACATTATCATAACTTCCCCAGCAATGAAGTATGAGTACCAGGGCTCTTGATATGAGGAATGTCATCACAACAGGAAGATCTTTCGTCCGAAGTACATCTGCCGCACACATTAAAGCCAGAGCAACCCCTTGTCTGCCAAGCCAGCCGACATCCATGTTCTCACCAGATCCAACATCGCGAAGATACAGAGAAAACAAAGAGGATAGGGACTCCTGAATCATCCACCATTATAAAAGTGAAACCACGTCTAAAATTTATTACACATGAAGAAAATTGGAAGTTATGTTACTTGTATTGTATCAGGATTTTCATCCAAAGCAGCTGCAAGTGCCTCCGCCGCAGCAACCCGGACCCCATAATTAACATGTGAGAGTGCCTTAAAGAGTCCAGAGTAATCAGTTCCAAATTCATAACGGTAACAATCCCATACATCTTCAGCAACTTTTGCAACTGACTGTTCACAAAGAGGATTTCCTAAATTAGTAACCACGAAACCAAGGTCATTCAGTTTTGGAGAGGAAGAAGTTCTAGAACAAAAAATTATCTAAGATTCCAGTCATTTACATAGTGTCAGTGTATCAAGGCAGAACTAACAAACCAATTTTGATAGCACTCAATCAAGTTATTTAAAAACTCCATGAGAAATAGAATCTGCTAACTCCCATGAGACAGAAGAATTTTAAAATCCTTCTACAGATAGCAAGAACCACGACAAAAAACAAGAACGACGTCAACAAAAAAAGATAACAGCAGATAAGTCAGTGATACTAAAGTGATACAAACGCAAACCATGTAAAGTCATAATCATAATTTAGTCAACAGATGCAGAAAATATCTACAGATACATCTGAGAACCATGAAAACAAGAAGAAAAATTTTAGTCCCTATGCAGTCAGTAGTTAAAACATACTGTTGGAGCATTCAGAGTGTCCCACAATTTTCACCAAGTCTAATGAGTAGAAACATAGACAAATAAGTAGCTAAGGTAAATGTATTATGGAGACAAACACTTCACCTTATCTGTATCATGCAAGGCAAGCCATAGGCTGGTAGCAACTTCAACATTTTGAGGTATTGAACAATTGGAGACGGCAGGAATGCACTTCACAGCATTTAAGCAAGCCATTCTTACATGAATGTCTTTGGCATAAATACCAGATAAAGCCTGACAGAGGTCAAGTGACATAGATAAGCTCAGAAGTACCAGTAAACAGGTTATCAAAGTGAAATGAGAACAAAAAATGTCTTACAGGTGCTACTTCATCTGGTCCTAGGCCAAGACACAGTTCATTCAGTGCAGGGCCAATAGCTGTATGGTAAGCAGGAACGACACCAAGGACATGATACAACACCTGCCAAGTATACCATGAGTAACATAACAAGTGAATAATTAGCCAATAATGCTGTTGCTTAGATGTCTAAACCGTAACTGATAGCATTCGAATTCTTGGCAGAGGCAAAATAGGATCCATATGCAAGAACAATATTTTGAGAACATCATCATGAAGCCCAGTCTTCTTGGGAGACAGCAATATCCTCTCGATCACCTGCAGAAGAATTTACAGGCTGCAGCAACTAGTAGAAGAATCAAACCAAAGAGTGAAACAGAACTAGGGAACAATAAGTTTACCGGAAAAACAAATGTAAATGAATCAACTGGAAGAGGTCCAGATTTGCAGGAAATGGTTAAGCCACTGACTAAACGTTCAAAAAGACCCAATGATGGCTCTCCACTGTCCTCCCCATCAACAATAGATGGAAATAACCCCCACAAGACGCTAGATTCTTCCGTGACAATCAGTCGTAAGGCAGTTGCAATCTCGATAGACCAATTGCAGAGGGGATCGACAGTACACTTTGAAAGTTTCACCAGAGTCTCAAAGGCAGCATCACCAACAATTGGGGACCGCAGTAGAGGATTGACGAACTTAACCTTAAAAAATAAATTAATTAAGATAAATATAAGCTCATTATGCAGATCATAGACATACAGTTAGAAGCTATGGTAATAAGTGAAGGCTGTGAAGCCAGACTTTTCCATAGCCAATATGCCAACAAGGGAGATTCCAGATATAAGATTCATGTAGCATGAACAACTTGGCCCAAAGATCCATTTTACTAGCATGACCTCATTGTACATGGATTAATAAGAGCTGTACATTTCAACATCATGCATCTAGCACATTTCTAGAACCAAATAAGATCACAAAGAAAATGTAATGAACGGAAGTGTACAAGAATGAAGACTAACTGAAGAAGGAAGCTGGCTGTGTGTGAATATGGGATTAGCTATCGCCATTTCGCCAAAAGCTTTGAGCATCAGAGAAAGGTTCTGCTGAATTGACATGATCTTTTCACGAATACAACTCTCTTCTTTGAGCTGCAACTCACGAGCTTCTTCTTTTGCTGTTTTTGCCTTATCTAGAGTCATTATAAAAAGAGAGATATATGAGCTAAAGAAGGATGTGGCGTAAGTCCCACACTATTTAGATAGAGTCCACTAACCGCCAGCTTTCTTCACTGATTTTGCAGCATCTTTTTTTGCAGCAACAGTAACCTCTTTATTCGGCACATCCCTCCTTGTAGAATAATTTGAGCTAACCTTATCCTGTACCATGTATGTCTGTCAGAAACAACAAGATAAACAAGTCTATGCTTCTAGATGAAACGTTCACATGTAACTACCGAGCTGTCATCGTTATCGTAAAGCCTGAAACGTCCTTTGGCTTGCCTCACATTTTTGGAGGCAACAGACTCCGCAATATAGACACCTTGCTCTGTCGAAAGCATTCCCTCAGGAGTACGAAAAATCTGAAATCAGAATCAGCCAAGAGCTAATTAGTCATTCCTTATTAAAAAATCGAGCATATATATTAACTCACCAGCAATCACCAATCAACATCAGAATAAAGAAAGTAAATCAATGAAAGTTTCTCCCAGTCAAAAACAAGCGATGTGGGGATACAAAGCGATGTGGGGATACAAAGCACGTGAAGGACCAACATAAAGAAATTGTTAATCCGAGAAATATATGGAAGGGAGTTTCTATAACACGCATAAAAGCATTCATCGTCAAAATACCTAACAAGTCATCAAACAAGACAATTTTTTTGACTTTCAATATCATCTCGTACATATCATACATGATAAGGAGCAGTATATGATGATAGTAATGGGGAAAAAAGAAAAAGTGAAGAAAAGGTGCATACAAGACTTCAAGAACATTCTCATGCACAAGAGAAGAAGTTTATCGTGCGAATATCCAAATCACATTCCATGCTTGTTGGAGTATAGGTGTGGGGTGTGCACTTACAATCATGACAGAACTCAACTAAGAATGTTTACAACTGTATCATCTTAGTGAACGCTTTGGTGGAACCCTACTGGTGGAGAAGATATGCAGCAGACAGAATTCTGAATTCTAAAAGCAATACATTATTTCTCAGAAACATTAATGAAGTCATTCAATCATCAAGAAATGAATAACTGAGAAATGGCAGCTCAATAAATTGGCTGAATGTCAAATAAGAAAACAAAGAATACAACTGACGGACACTAACATGATAAATGAAGATTGATTGTATAGGGAAAACAGTGACACATAATAAAGATCACAAAATAATAAAAACCATGCTAAAGAAGTAATAACGAGAGTGTTTGTGATCAAGAACATAATCATATGCACAAAATAACCTGAATGTCATTTTCTGATAGAGTGTCATGTGAAATACGTTCTGGGAGACTGATGAAGTGCTGCAAAAGTGAATTCATATTAAGAGACATGTAGACCAATTAAACATGTTCACAAAATGACTAGCAGAAGGAAATGGGAGGATGGGAGAAAAGATGATCAGACCTTTTCAAATTGCGCATAAATACCTCCTGGTACAATAGACATCAGTGTTGACAAGGTATTTATAGCTGCTCCTTGCTCAAAACAGTTGGAACTCGTCAATCCATTTGAACCAAATAAAACCTTCAAGACCACAACAAAAGTAAAACGAAAATAATTAATAACTCAAAACGCAAAAAGTTCAAGTGCGTAATTTCACACTCATCAAAAAGTTCAGGTCAGGTTGGTTTCAACAAAAATTCAAAATCAACATAACTTCACTGAATCATTAAATCTTACAAATCAACAATATACTGAGGATGGCAGTCTAAATGGTAAACCAACAAAGTATATTTCCTACCATTTATGTTCAAGAGGGTCCCAGTATCACTACAATCATGTTTTAACCACTGATAATCTAAAGTTCTTGAAAAAACATTTCAAATCTTAAACATATTATTACTGAACCAATACCCTCATAATGCTTGGAAAAGTGTGTGTGTGTGTGTGGGATGGGGGGTGGGGGGGAGATGAGAAATAAAATAAACAAAGTGAAATATGGAGATTCAAATAGATGGCGATAAATACTTGATCAGTTAAAGCTAATTAAAGAACATGCCAAACATGAAATGACCAATTTTTCATAGAAACAATTGTTTAACAACTCCAATTAAAAAATCAATTCACCTTGCATAATTCAGCAACATTAGGGGTAACAAGGCTAACCGCATCAAAGCCGAACTTATGCAGACATTTTTGCACCCTCTGAAGAAGAAAGGAACACGAGCATGAGTTATTAAAGAATGAAACATACATCAGTTAATTGGGGAAAAAACATTTGATCTTGAAATTAACAGTTCCTAACCATGAAATCCAAAAGCACAAATGCAACCATTTATAGTGTCTGTCTGAAGAATGTTTATTTTATTTCAACCGGCCAATAGAAGAATAGCTTCTATGATTTTCAAACTATTTGATGCTAGCTTAAGAGTACTTTCAATTGTTGCAAAAGAAAATCAGTGACTCGTTTGCAGTAACTAAGGATAAAAGTGCAGCTCAAAAATCTCAGAAGTAGGAAAAAGAAATACCCTCCAAACAGCGTCCTTTTTTCCAGTTCCAACAATATGTGGATGATGTGAGCAAAACATGAGCTGCAAACACACATCTGGGGTACTAGTGGATACACCAGATGCTATAACAACTAATGCCCTCACCAAAACCTCAATTGGCGGAATGAATGGAACTCGAGAATCTACAACACTTTCTGTATCACTGTATCCATGAATAAGTTCAGATTTGATACACTACCAATTAATGATACACTGATAGTTAATGAAGAAGCAGCCACACAATAAGGTGAAGCAAAGGCAATCATTCCACATTCATCATGTAGGAAAATACTACGAGAAATCAACAATATAAAGAGTTAATGACCAGAAACAAATTGCTTAATGACACAACATACAGAATAGAGAATACTAAAGAGGATGATAGTCATATGTACACAAATAAAATCTGATAACGGCATGATTACAAAATATCTCTAAGAAATTACCATATGTTTTGTGTAAGCCTATATTCAAATCATTGGCCTAAAATAGAGTAATGTCGTTCCATCCATAAGATGAGCATTGATAAAAGGCTCTCCACACTCACACTGACATATGCTTTCATCCATTTCAAATCAGCAAAGCGTTGCTCATTCTATGAACTAACTTGTCATGCCAAAACAATACGAGATTTATGATTATAAACCTAAGTGGTCACATTTAATTTAATTTTTTAAGAATAACAAAAGAAAAAAGGCTTTCGCTAACAGGTAAAGAAATGTTCATCACATATTCAGAATTTCAGATTGTTGAACACTCATTGCAACTCTATGCAGAGAAGAAGGCCTATTGATTGCAAATTATCTAGTTCACTCACTCTCGGACGTTTCTAGCACCACACAATTATCTATGCAAATAAGTACTTTTTGTTGATTGGCAACCAATGCTTCTAATCCAAAAAAATGGAGAAAGGAAGCTTCATAAGACACAACGTCAAGAATCCCAATGAAGAAGTGAAGCCAATCTCTGAGATCAAGTTTATTCACCCCATCATTGGAACCCCATTCTACATATGATTTAAGTACAGTGAAAGAATGTCCAATAATCGCATCTAGGATATAATACATTAGAAGATTTTCCCAACAATTCATTGCTGGATTTCGAACCAAATTTAAAGTCTTCAGATTCAACCCATATGAATATGAAACCGAAACAAAATAAATTTTAAGAACACTTAAAAGATGCAAATCCCTGTTTAGACTTTATCATTGTAACATAAAAGGTCAGGGATATGCAGTTTTACTGAGAATAAAATAAATTTCAGAAGGGCATAGTGCGCCTTACAGGGACTGTCTTTTGTGTTCCCACGTCAAGCTTTACATGAAATATACAAATTTATCTCATTTTTGTTGAAAATTTTAACAATGCTTTTTGTAATGACCCTTCATTAAGTGTGAATGCCACTTGTGACGTCAAATAAGAGAATCTGGAACAACTTACTTATCAACTGTTTTTATTACATTCTAAGAATGTATTCTAAGCAAACATGATCGACCCCAGTTGCAGCAAGCTCCATTTTAATTTCCCTCTCATTACCAATATAAGGTATGCCAACCAACCATCCCCACATAAACTCTCCATTGTCAAATCATACTTCACGATAACTTCTATAATTCCAGGACATCCTATACAGATAGCATCATCAGGATCCGAGCTCTTATGGTACTTGATCTAGGCCACAATATGGATGCCAAAGGAAGACTCGCCAAAGTGGATTCACTATAACAAATTAACTCTGCTTCTATGTGATTTTCACTCAAAAAAAGGAATATATATATATATATACACATATATATTAGACACTCATATGACTTCAACTGTACTCCTGCATCGATGTACCGTACCACACCCCAAAAACTTTTTTACGCCACTATTCACACTGTGCTGTGCGATGTATATTAATAAGTATCAATCCAGTTTCTAGCCGGAGATTTGACAAAATAAAATAAAAGCTCACTACTCCATTATGGAAAATAAATCAACTTTAAACAGTTTTCCAGCAACATCCAGATGTGTGCATCCTTAATCTAAGTACTTATAAAACCCCTATATATTAATCCAGAACGCGCTGAGCCTACGTGGCTGCTTCTGGTGCTTCGGAATCCTATGTGGCAAAATTACATGCTTCGTTATTAGGCTTGGATAAATTTTAATTTAATTCCAAACCAAAAATAATTAGGTTCGGATTATCATAACTATGTTGATTATTTATGGTCATGTTACATGCATTAATTGCATTTTAATATCATTCCTTATTATAACTATTGAATTGTATATGTATTTTAAAAGTTAATAACTTTTGTATTTTTTTATCAGGTTTACATATGTAATATATCAAGTTAATCTTCTCTTGATGAGCTTCGATTTAACATCCATATTATGTATAAAAAAAAATAATTTATATTTATCTTTATAACAATAATAAAATTATTTTTAATATTAATTAGAAAAATAAAATTATTTATCAACTAATATATTTATATTTCAAGTAGTTATATGATATAAGTTATAAAAACTAATATAATATAACACATGTAAGTCATAAGTAACACGTATCATTCTAAAATATATAGTAATATTTTTTTTTTGTAAAAAAGTAAACTAAATTTAATATATTTTCTCATTAATTTTAAAATTTAAGAATAATTTTTTAACAAGCACCCGTGTGTTGTACTAGTTGATAGATTGATTTCTAAAAAAATTTACCTCATTACCTGTTAGAAAAACAGCTCTTCCGCAGGTTTCATGCATGCTCATGACAGGAAGCGTAAGGTGCATCATATGACAAGATAAAGTGCCACACCACCAAATAATAGGGTAAAACAATGTACCGATTGACCATGCAATCAAGTAAAGCTTCCTTTTCCACCCTTCAATATTCAGGATAATTGACAGTACACATGCGCGTTACAAACAAAATATCAAAGAATTCAAATTCCAATTGAAGTCAGCTGCATCCAGTCAACGGAAATATGAATGCGTATCTTTATTAATGGTCCACAAGAATATTGGAGGAGGATGGTTCACATAATATCAATTTTCAACCACAAATTCGACTTAGGTCTTTTAACCCAAGCACAGAAAAACTAAAGGAACTCAACAGAAATAACCAGTCAACATTTCAACCACAAAATTTGACTTAGGCCTTTTTAACCCAAGCACAGAAAAACTATAGGAACTCAACAGAAATAACACGGTCAACCAGAAGAGACAAAAGAAGGCAATTCACAGAAAAAGGAAAAGGCCGAAGTAGAGTTTCACCTCATCCTAAGAAGAGCGACTTTTTCCCCAACAAGAGAGAGATAACTTGAGAGTTCAAGCAAAATAGCTTCAGATAACACAGGAGATGCAACAAGAATCTTTCTCGTAGTGCCATGGGCTGCTTTTCGTACGTCCCAATTAGGATGACACAGCAAAAACAATACGAACTGGCCATAGTAGAAAAAATAATTAATAACAATAATATCACTGCAACAGAGAACTTAGCAACATGATCCTAACAACCTGTACGAATGCTCTGGCAGAAAAGATCTCCAATAACCTGCAGCACAGCAGATAAAGGAAATGTTAAGTTTGTGGTGTAGAGACTTTACAGATATCCCAATCATCCAAACTAGATTTTTTGGGAACTTGAATTTCGAGTGCAAATATTCACCAAAGGAGCATGACGTCCCATTACCAATTAATAAGGAACAAAGCACAAGCGTCATCTTTTTCCATTGATACTCAAATCAACATTGTTACACGAACTACCTATGAAGGACATAGTTCCATATATGGAAATTCAAGGGGAAACACTATAGCTGATGTATCAACAACATACAGGTTTCTTTCCATACCTGACTCCGGAGAGTGGAATTATTAATTTAAATAGAATGATAAATACCTAAACATCCGCAAATAAAATGCAGATATGAAAACGGCGAGAAATTATTTATCTGAAAAGTATTTCAGCATGGTCATACAAAACAACTAGAGCATACCGTCGTGGATAATCCACAAGCAAAACCTCAACAAGGTCAACACAAGCCATTAAGTCCTCCACTGATAATTTGGATGCCTGCATAAGCAAGATGAGATGTAGCTCAGAGCTTCTAAAACAGTTCAAAATTGTTCAAGCCTAAGGAAGTTCCATCAAATAGGTGCAAGCATACTGTGTCCAGAAATAATAATGCTACTTCGTAAGTTCTTGAAAAATATGTAGACATTCCATCAAAGCATTTTTAGTTTTTCTAATAAAAAACTACAATAATGAAATCTGTGATCATTGCTATGAGGATTACTAACAGAAAAATGCAATGATAAAGCCATTTACTGCCCATATTCCACGGCAAAAAAAAAATGACAAACTGTCATACGACAATAAATAACTGACCAGAGAAATTGGAATAATAGAAGGTTCATTCTGCAATATCAACGGCCAAATCTTCTCCTTGGACACCATTTCTTCTAAAAAAATTAAAGACATAAGAAAAGAAAAATACTGGAAATTAATAAGATGCCAGTAAACAAGATTAAACAGAGCCAAGATGGTCAGTTCACAAGGTTAATTAAGCAGATCGAGACAAGAGCACCTGCTTTAACATCATCGACAGCAATTTTCACCAAACAAAGTAGTGCAAAAACGCCATCCAATCTCTGAGCAACTTTGGTAAAACCGGTTTTGACTAGTTGGAGAAGAGACGGCAACAACGATGACATCTAGAGAGCACAGCATTAAGTAAAGCTAACAACCAGTAATATCCAAGAAATAGCCAACATAAATATCATAGTTTTGGAAATATATATGACCTCACCCGTACAACTGCTTCAGTATTTTTTATCATCAATCGCAGACAACGAAGATGGGCCCTTCTCAGTGTTTCTTTCTCTTTAAGCCCAGAAACAATAAAGGTTACTAAATCAGAGGAAATAGCATCTGCCGATTTTACAGCCCAAGATGCTAAACAAGACAAAACTGCAAGCTTGACCTCTTCATTTCCTGCAAACCAACACGCTTTCATTTAAGGAAGGTGACAGAATCTTACCTATCCTCAACGATGATAGCATAAGAAGACAGACACATCAAAGATCAAGTCATGCAGATCCAACTAAACTATCTGTAAAGAAAATCTAGCTTGCACATGTATATGTGTAGCTACACATAGAAAAAGGATTTCACGT